ACTGCCACGTGTGTACCTATGCAACAATCTTGCATGTTCTTCACATGTACCCCAAAACCTAAAATGCAATAAAATAAATAAATGGGGGAAAAAAAACACAGTATCTGTGAAAGTAAAAAAAAAAAAGAAAATATTAATTACATTCAATCAAAACAACTACAATATAGTTATGTTTTAAAATGTCTGTGAATAGAGAACTGAACAAGATTGACAAAAAAGGAGATGTTAAATTTTCATGAATCCCAAAGAAGAAGAATTGCTATTCTCATCTCCAGATTATCTGTTAGAATAATAGATAATAATTTCAGTGATGGTCATTTAATGAACAAAATGCCCTGGCAGCATCAAATAGCGTTTAACTTGGGAGTGTGTTTTCAGGTCACCAAGTGATCTAGTATCATAAACCCATCCTTGGATGGCTTTAATCTCCTGCAATAACCAATACTCAATGCTATTTTAACAGAATCTGCTTCAGACAATGTTATACAAAACTAAAGAGATTATAATTTTTCATAAATAAGCAGACTGGAAAAAGAAAGTATTTGGAGATATTTTATTTCTATGATAAGGAAATCTCACATAAAAGTCTTCATGATTTCATTAATTCACAAAAAATGTTAAATCAGTTAAAATTAAAAAGTTCACACTAAATGACTCATTTCGTCTTCTCTTCCCCCTGCAATATGAGCAAAAATATATTAAATGCTAATTAAAATAATAGGTTCAGTAAGTAACTGGTTCTATTATTTTATATCAGAGAAACACTGGATACATAAGGAGTCTTCTGATAGCATTTGTTGAAGTCTTTTAAATAACCTAAAAGAATTTTACATAGTTGAGCCACTAATTTAACATTGATTGTGTGCATAATTTTGTTCCTAGCGTTTTTAAAATAAACTATTTTAAATTGAATTCCATTTATTTTTAAGATAATTAATGGCATTCCTTAGGATCTATCTCATTTATGGATTGATATTTCTGGAAAATCAACATTATATTCAGGCTTGTCTGAATGTTTTGTTACCTGAAGTAATTTAAACTCCCAAAGCAGCACGAGTTTTTGAAATTAGTTGTTGTCCCTGAAAATTAAGAATAAAAATAATAAGATAAAAAGGTAGATTATTATGCCAATCATACAGTTAACACTTTGCAATCTGGGGTGAATTCACAGGTTTGTAGATTAAGTTGAAAATAAAGAAATACATCTCTGATGTCAACAATGTAGGACAGTAGAAGCCAGAGAGAAAACAATATTCATTAATATCAACAGATTTTTTCTATAACAATCTCCAAATCTATGCCTATTCTCATTTAATCTTTCTCCTTTCTCTACAAATAACAAATTATTCAAAATTAAAAGGTTTGCAGATAAAGTTCTGCTAGTATTTGTTAATGTTCTCTGTATCTAAATGTCTTCTCAGATTACAGAACATTAATCTTGTGTCACGTTTTCAGAAATGCTTTACATCAAATCTATTTTACCAGTTTTATCTAATTTGGTTATCTATGTCCCACCCTCACCTGATGCCACCAAAAACATACACATATACTGGTAAGTACACACACTCAAATGCATCTAATTGTATTATTTATAGAAAAACTCTACATTTCTAAATATTGTTTATCTTTGGATTTTACATGGTGAAATAGGTAAATTTGACCAAAAAAAAACCTTAGTTATAGAATATCTTTTTAAAGTGTAATGTTGTTATATTCAAATATATGTAACAATACAAAGTAAACATTTGCAAAATTTAGCCAATTAACTTGATTGTGATAATCATTTCACAATGTATAAATAAATAGAAACATCACATGTACACCCTAAACATAATTTTTATTTGTTGATCATGCCTCAATAAAGCTGAAAATGGTAATTGTTTTAAAGAAGGTAGAACTCCCCAGTTTAAAAAAATAGCTAATTTTTCTGCCAAAATTACTATGTAATTAAAATAACTCCTAAGTACCACTCTGTTGATGTACAAAAGCAAGCTTCTAAATGAGTTCAAAAATATTTTCTACAAATATTATCCTAATATTCTGTTTGCATAATTTGCTATTAAATCCTTTAATTTATTTAGCTTAATTGATAAGGTTTAGGCCTGAAACAATCTAAATTATCATCAATTATTTATACATTGACTTCATAGGTTTCTCTACTAGGAAATAAATTAAACTTACTAATTCTATTAATGTATTTTAAAATTATAATTCTTCCTAATATTAAGTAAGAAAATGTGATTGAGGGACTGTGTTATAGAAGCCTCTCTTCCTGGGTTCATAAGGGGCGTGGTTTCAAAGGCAGGAGTTTCTCAGCTCTACACCTCCATCCAAGAACCAGAGGGGTTTCAAATGTAAAATTTTTTGTCTGGGTTTCCCATGCTTGGACTAGGTAGAGAAAGCCAGTTGAGGCTCCTTTGTCCCAAAAACCCACCAAAAGCTCTGGGAGGAGGGGGATCTATAACTCAGAGTTGTGGACCAAGCAGCCAATCTGCTATCAGAGTCAAAGATCCATCACTCCAGAGGAAGTTTGGAAGAACTCCTCTCATTGGACAAAAACATGAATGGAGAGGGTTAAAACTCCAGCTACTCCTACCTATACAGATTCCTTCTCTGGGTCCCCTCCCACAACAGCTGTCTTTCTTTCTCTCTCTATCCCTCTGTCTAATAAATCACTTTTCCTTTGACTGGGAAGCTCACCATGCCTCTGGGGCCCATTTCCCCATTCTTCGGGGTTAATGAGGCCAAGAACATATGTTGTCTAGTGGTTAGGAGTCGAAGCTGTCACCCAGGAGGTCCAGGTTTTACTCCTGGTGTGGGAACCAGGCAATCCACTGGAAGTTTTGCTCCCTCGGTTATATCTTTTGGTGAGCCAGCCAGGAGAATGTCGGGCTTCAGAGTGGTGAGTGACATTGGAGCCCTTTCACTTGCTAATGTGTCCTTTCCCTTCTTTTAAATTTGTTAAGAAGGTAAAAACTGGGCACCCATTGGCCATCTAAGTGTAAATAGCACTAAAGACATGGGCTTTCTGGGAACCGATTCTCTAGCAAACCCCGGTTCTTTGGAACTAGGAGCATTGGTCAGGCCTGAATCAGCTTCCTTTTCTTGCTGTTCTTTCTTTCTCTTACAATCTTAAAGAAGGTAACAGCCAGCCATTACCTTCTTGTGTTGTGCTTACAGGCCCCTCCCAAGTACTTTATCCTCCTAGAGCAGTTTTATGGTCAGGCCAATCTGAGGGCCAGCCGGAGGAAAGGGCAGATGTCCCAAACTCCTGGTTCAGTCTGGTTAAGGTTGTGGCCCCGCTTAGACCATCTAAGGAAAAGTCACCTATGCAAGCCATGCCTAGCCGTTCAGACGCCGGCCTCCTGGGTCCAGATTTCCATAATGCAAACTTCTTCCCTGCTCTTTCCTGTAAGACATTTTCTACACGTGAGGCTATTACCCTTCTTGCTAGGGCTTTGAGGCTCTTAGGGTGGCAGTTCAGGGACCCTTGCCCATGGTGCCCTCAGGCTTATGCCTATGAGGACCTCCTACAGTATACACAGGGCCAGTTACCTTAGTCCACTCTGATAGGTTATGGCCTAATAGAGACAGAGTCTATCAGAGGGTACTGGAGGCTATAGGACATTGTGTTTTTTGTCACCCTGCAATTTCCCAATCGAACTGAGTGGTGCCAGAGTCCAATGACATACAATTTGTCTTGCCTAGGATCGGTTCTCTGTATGGCAGAACTTCTCCGTCTAGAATACCATAGTCAGAACTGGTCTGAGGCTCAAATAGTTAATTACAGGCCCCACAACCCTAGGGTATATTTCTATAATGGAGAATGCGGTTGGGGAGAAAGTCCGGGCCCCAAGGACATTGTTCCAGCCTCAGCCGTGCAGCCAGCCATTACCTTCTTTAAGATTGTCATGCTTAGAGGTCCCTCCCAAGTAGTTTATCCTCCTAGGGCAGTTTTATGGTCAGGCTGTTAATTAAACTCTTGCTAGGGAATATGGACACTCATTGCCCAAGCCTCACTGGCCTAGTTCTTCAAGCACAGGGCCACTAAGCCCAGCAGTCCCCATGTTCTTAAGGTGGCCATAAGGACATTAATCAGTGAGGGTGTGCCCATGACACCAGTAAGCATGATTAAACCCGGCACATGGGTGGGGGGCAGAATATAATCACGCACCCAGGGTGCAAGGAAACTACAGAGTGCTATAACTGGGGGATGCCCCAGGGCTACCAATTGCAAAGAATAACCAGGGATGTAGGTATCCCTGTGTTCAATTTCAGATGGGTGCTATTCTTCCCAAGGCAAAATCACCCTTAATGTGTATCCTGGATAACTGGGACCAATTTGATCCACAATCTTTAAAGAAGACGTGGCTCATTTTTCTCTGCCAAACAGCATGGCTGCAATACCCACTGCTGAGTGGAGAAACCTGGCCTCCTAAGGGAAGTACAAATTATAACATCCTTCTACAATTATATCTGTCTGTAAGACGGAAGGTAAATGAATTGAGGTCCCCTATGTGCAAGTTTTCTTTAAGGAATAATCCTCAGCTATATAAGGCTTATAACCTATGACCTACTGGCCCCTCCTCAGGACTACTCCCATATTTAGGACTCCCTGTGGCTCCTCACTCCACTGATGCTACATGTCTCAGCTCCTATAATCCAAGAGGACTCAGGGAAGGCCAAAACAGCCAAGGCACCTCAGGCTACTAGGATGCCCCCACTCTGCCCCCTACAGGCAGTAGGAGGAGAATTTGGCCCAACCAAAGTACAGACTCCCTTTTCACTTTCTGACTTAGAGCAAATCAAGGCAGACTTAGGAAAATATTCAGATAACCCAGACAAGTACATAGATGTTCTGCAGGGCTTGGGTCAGTCCTTTGAATTGGATTGGAAAGATATCATGTTATTGTTTAGTCAGACTCTAACCAGCAATGAGAGAGAGGCTGCTCTAGCAGCAGCTCAAGAGTTTGGGGGCACCTGGTACCTTAGTCAAGTACATGAACAAATGACACCAGAGGAGAAGGATAGATTCCCTACAGGTAGACAGGCAGTCCCCAGCATGGACCCTCACTGGGATCCTGACTCAGAACATGGAGACTGGAGTCGTATGCACCTATTAACCTGCATACTTGAGGGATTAAGATGAACTGGGAAAAAGCCCATGAACTATACAGTGTTATCCACCATAACTCAGAGAAAGGAAGAAAACCCAATAACCTTCTTTGGGCAGTTATGGGAGGCCTTAAGAAAGTATACTCTCCTGTCACCAGACTCCATCAAGGGTCAGCTAATACTAAAAAACAAATTTATTATGTAATCAATAGCAAACATTAGGAGGAAGCTCCAGAAGCTGGCCCTCAGGCCAGAACAAAGTCTAGAATCATTACTAAATCTAGCAAACTCTGAATTCTGTAGCAGAGACCAGGAGGAACAGGCTGAAAGGGGCAGGAGGGACAAGAGAAAGTCCATAGCCCTGGTCATGGCAAGCAGACCTGAGGACCTGAGAAGAGAGAAGGGCTTGGGTTAGCCGCCAGTCTGGCAGAGCTTGCTACCACTGTGGCCTACCAGGACACTTTAAGAAAGACTGTCCCTGGAGGAACAGATCACCTCCTTGTCCTTGCCCATTGTGCCAAGGGGATCACTGGAAGGCACACTGTCCCAGTGGACAGAGATTCCCAGAGCCTGAAGTGGCTAACCAGATGACCCAGCAGGAGGACTGAGGGTGCCCAGGGCAAGCACCAGCACAAGCCCTCACCCTCACTGAGCCCCACGGAAAGCTAACCATAGAGGGCCAGGAGGTCAATCTCCTGGATACTGGCACGGCCTTCTCAGCTTTGCTCTCCTATCCTGGATGATTGTCCTCCAAGTCTGTAACTGTCCGTGGAGTCCAAGGACAAGCAGTCTCCTGATATTTCCCCAGCCCCTAAGCTGTAACTGGGGAGATGTGTTCTTCTCCCATGCCTTCCTCATCATGCCAGAAAGTCCCACTCCCTTATTAGGGCAGAATCTGTTAGCCAGAGCAGGAGCCATTATCTATATGAACATTGTCTGAGAGGAAATCCCCCTCTACTGCCCATTACCAATTCAGCACGAAGTAGTTAAAGAGCGATCTACACCGTGTCCCAACAGAAGTTGGACTTTCCTGTTCAGAGTGGGGACCTAGGGACTATGTTTAGAAGCTTCTCTAGGGGCGTGGTTTCAAAGGCAGGAGTTTCCTGGCTCCATGCCTCCATCTGGGAACCAGAGAAGTTTCAAATGTAAAATTCTTTGTCTAGGTTTCTCATGCTCAGGCTAGGTAGAGAAAGCCAGATGAGGCTCCTTTGTCCCAAAAACCCACCAAAAGCTCTGGGAGGAGGGGACTCTGTAACTCAGAGTTGTGGACCAAGCAGCCAATCCGGTATCAGAGTCAAAGATCAATCACTTCAGAGGAATTTTGAAAGTACCCCTCTCATTGGGCAAAAACATGAATGGGGAGGGAATAACTCAAGGGTTAAAATTCCAGCTGCTCCTACCTATATGGATTCCTTCTCTGGGACAGTGTGGGAGCTGTCTTTCTTTCTTTCTTTCTTTCTCTCTCTCTCTCTCTGTCTAATAAATCTCTTTTCTGGAAAACTCTTTGGGTCTACAATATTCATCTGAACAGTAAGCTTACCACGCCCCTGGGGCCCCTTTCCCCATTCTTCAGGGTTAGCGAGGCTAAGAGCCTAAGTGGTCTAGTGGTTAGGACTTGGCACTCTCACCCAGGCAGCCTGGGTTTGACTCCCTGTGTCAGAACCAAGCAATCTGGCTGAAGTTTCTCTCCCCCAGTTACATAAATCTTATAAATTCCTTCAATCTATTTCTCCGTGAAATTTAAATCTCTCTGAAAGTGTTTTAAAGTTATAAATTTGTGGGGTCTTCTTTTCATTACCCATTACAGAAAATTCCATAGCAAGTATTTGAAGTATGAAATGAGCTGCATGTACCTCTTCAGCAAGGCAGACTTCCTGTTCCTGGCCTTGGCAGCATTTCTCCAACATGCCTGCAAAATCTGCAGTGACAGCCCCAAGTTGTTCCTCTGTTATTTGTGGCTTTTGCTTCACAAGGTTAATGAGAAACCTGTGATTTAAAGCAAAACAAAATACAAGAGAAGTCTGTTACGCAATGCTATTTTTCTACAGCCCTCCTAGTAGAGAATTTTCAGAGCCTAAATCCTCACTCTATCAACCTGTCACTAGACTGACCACACACACCTTGTCTAATACTTTCAGTAGAAAGACTGAGGCTGAAAACACACCAAGTGTTCCATCGGCCTGGAGTTGTGCAAGTTATGGATGGAACACTATTTCATACTTGACCATACATACGTATAGTGGAAGGAAATCTCCCCCTTCCCCACCCAGAATATCTTTTCCTGTCCTCTCTTCTTAAGTGTGTCTTATTGACACTCAAAGACCCAAATCCCTGAACCCTGCCCATCCAGTTATCACACCCTTATCTGGGCATTGGCAGCACTAATTGCCTGCACTACTCATTTAGCAAGGCTTTCATATTGGACTTAGGCCAGAGCAATAGAAATTAGACAAGAGCAATAGGAAAAGCTTGCCAGAAGAGGCAGCATTCTTATCATACCTTGAAACATACCTCAGACTGTGATAGAGAAAAAAAGAGAAGAATGGGTTTTCCAGTGAAGGAAGACTATTAACAAAACAAGTTAAGTATCAAAATGCTTGGGAGTTTGAAGAACATAAGCCTCATTGACTTGCATTACTATCACCATTACAAAAGAGCTCCCACAATGAATTGAAATGTACGTGTCATTCCTTAACACCCAAACTGCATGGTTGAATCAAATAAGATGATTATTGCCTTCAAAGTGTAAAAAGTGTTAAAAAAAATTCAATAATGTGTTTCCCGTGCTTGGAATGGAAGTATCTGGATTTGCTGCAAAGATACACTCTGATTCCTGAGGATAGATTGTCCACTTTTCCTTAACCCCCAAATACATATCACAATAATAGTTACAAGAGAGATTATCTTTACAAACAGGAAATTGTCCACCCTCATTAATTTTTCCAGACCTGCTTCTCCAATAAGGCTGTGAAGACACTGAGACAAAACTATTTTCAAAGACATTTTAAGTGCTCTGGGAGTAATGCTCTGTTAGTGAGCCCAACAGTGTTAGGTGTGTGAGGTAGAAGTCTCAGTTACTCTTTGGGGTTGTCAGTCTTCTCCATGCTAGCAAGTAACAGTTTCTTACTCTTGAATCATCGTATGCAGTGCTAAACCCTCAGTTTGGCACAGATCCTTATGGAAGATGAACTTGTCATCAGAGAATGCAGGAGGGACATATGTCTCATCCACCACCAAGTTGCTGAAGCATGGCCTCCTGTTGGCATACGATGAAGTGCAGCACTGGCCAACACCAGGGTTTACTGGAGCTGTTTCATGTCGGATACATAAGTGTCCAATAATAATGTCAGCCTGGTTGGGAGAATGAGAAAAAAAAAAAGCGAGGAGATTGGGCATTAGTCACAAAGTTGGCCCAGGTTTTCAAAAAACTGCTGCAATGATTTCTAATGTCCAACAATTTATAATTAATATCACAGGAAAATTTGCTATGTAGGATCATGTGGCACTACATTATAAATTCCAGCATTTACCCGTTCGCTTGGGCTAAGCCTTAGAATGTAGTAGCAGATGGTCCATATGTGACGACGATAGTCGTTTAGCTATTTGTGTCAGCGATTTGAAACATACTTCCAGTTACATACACATTTCTAAAGGACAAAAATCTATCTGCCTTTATGTTTTCCATGTGTATTTAGTTGAGCTTTCCATTTCTCTTTTGAGAATCACTAGCTGAAAGTAAGAAGAGCACAAACTTAGCCCTTTTATTCATATATATATATATATATACACACACACATATATATGTATGTATGTGTACATGTATATACACATGTATACACTTGCAGCTACAATATCATCCTAATTGAAAAGAAACAGGACCAATTTATGTGGGTTTTTAGGGCTTTCCTAATGTAGAATCCTGCTACCTTGCACACTTCAAAGATATTTCTTAATTGCCTATTAATAACTTGTAATAAGAACTAATATGTTTCATGTACACTTTATCAGACTAGTGTTGTGTGAGTTATGCAGATTATCTTGTTTAAAACAGCTGTCATATGAGGGTGGTATAATTTTTATTCTCAAATGTCAGATGAAAAAGCTTAAGCTTAATGACACAAGTAGCTTTCCCACTGTGACATAACTAAGGAGTAGTGAACGTAGAATGTGGTTGTAGGCTGGTGGCCTCTGGAACATACACTCCTGAACCATTACACCATTCTGCATCCCTGTAGCCTCTCAACATTGGGAATTGAACAAACAATTGAGGTGACGTTAATAACAAGAAACTTTCCTTTTAATCTTTGGGGAAAAATTTTATGACATGAAGACTAACTAGCAAATAACTCCCCATTATGAAAAAAGAGGAAAAGGAATAAAATAGTTATATAATTTGGTTTGCAATTATGATTTTATGGGAAAAAAAGTTTTCATTCATCCTGTAATCATATGTATGACCCTAGTGACATTAGGAAGCAAAGAATATTGGTATTACTGACTTGAAAGTCTTGTTACTATTCAGAACATGGTACTCATCTTGTGCTGTACCCTATACCCTATTAAAGGGAATAAATTATTCTTAATGTCATAATAATAATAACATTACACTCCAAAAGGTAAAAATATAAGTATATGGTTAAAATAGCATGACTAATTTTAATCTATCAAAGATAAAGCTTTTTTAAAAACTTCAAAGTAAGTGTATGAACAAAAAACAGAAATTAATGAGTTGAAGTAATAAATTATGAATTAAGTTATGAATTATAAGTTACATGTTGGTCATTCTGTCTTTCCAATATATAAAGTTGGCACAGACATTGTTGACTAAACTGGCTGCACTTTCCCCAGCCACTCTAGAAGAGCAGGAAGCCTGACCACATGCCAGCCATTCAGAGCTGAGTTCCCACACCCCTCCAACTGTTACTAATCAAACAAGCCTCCTAAAGCCATCTCTACTAGAGGGGAATTATGAGGCTATTTCAAGTCAAACAGGACAGGAGTGAGATGGGACTAAACCAAGCAGTCACTCACCGCTCCCTCACCACAGGCCAATAGTTCGTCCTCACTGAGTCGGCAGCAAGTGGCTGCTGTGGCTGCCATTTTTCTGGTGATGGCCACCAGCTCCGATGAGGTCAGCTGAGGGGCTTTCTTTGTGTAAGCAATGAGAAACCTGAAAGAAGCATGTTTTTACTAAGTCCTGCTGAGCCATTCATGAGTTTTTAGCCTCCTTGCTTTTCACAGACTCTTCTCTCATGTCAGAAGACATGAGGTCAGCTCATTTGTTTCACCCACATGGTATCTGAACCAACCTTTGAGATGTGTTCACTCCCTGTACTCCTATTATAGCAGCATATCACAATGAAAAAGCAAACTTCAGGCAAAAGGCTGACTCGTATTCCCAACCTCAGAGCTTCATTGCTTTTATCTCCGATATTTTGGTGCTTTAACTAGGATGGACAATGACAGAATGGATATCTTTACTGCACAAATTTGTACAGTATGGGGAACTTAAAGTCAACACCATGGATCAGACTTCACAGGCCATTCTTGCTGCTTCCAAAGGAGGGGAATGCTAAGGCTACATTCTCTTCCAGGATATTGGATAGTCAGATTACACTGACTTCCAATCTGAAATAGGAACTGAAATTAGAGAGCTATGGAGTTGCCAACTTGACTGTATATTTCTCTTGTCTCTTAATAATTTTAAATCACTAAAAATACTGTTTACAAAAACATACACATTTTGTAAGTAATATTCTCCTAGTTTCTGGAAGAGGCCACAGCTTTGCTTTGCCAATGCTTGGCTCTCCTGGATGTATTTCTGTAATTCTTCTTCCTGAAAACAGAAGAATCATTACCTATACGTTTTTCTCTTGTTGGATGTGTAACTTTGTATATAAAAGTTGATCAATATTTTACACTATTATAAAACCATTCTTAGAGATTTTTTAATATTAAAGACATTAAAGTATGAATTTTGATAATTAAAGCAAATGGATTTTGGGGAGATTAAGTTTAAACTTTGTGAATCACAAAATCATTTAATGGAAAAATTCAATCTTTGGATAAATGATTAAAGTTCTTTCTGTACAAATTCTTGCCTTTCTGAAGCTATCCAAAATTGAATAATGAATACTACCTTTATTTGTGCATCAAAGAACTTTTGGTTAATATTTTTATTTCTAAAGTGGGCCACTAGTTGCTGACTGCTAATTAATAACAGCTTAGTATCTAGACAACTAGTTAACAGATATAACTGGCTAATTACTAGCTAACAACTAGAGGCTTTCAAACAAACTGTATTTTTAACAGATGAAATCAACCCAGTTTTTCAGATTTCCCTAAAATTCTAGAGCAACTTACCCCTTTATCTTGGCATTCAAGAGGGTTTTCAGTCTGGAAACACTTCTCCAATAACTCCTGGTATCCTTCAGCAACTCTTAGAATTATTGAGACAGCAAGCTGAGGATGTCTTCTTGAATATTCATGAACATAACTGAAATATGTGGGAAAAAATGTAAGTTATTGAAACTAAGACAAAAGGAGTAATCACTTCTCTAGTTATTCCCATATAATATGGCATGTGGAAGTTAAATTCAAATAAATAAACCTGAAAATCCAATATGATTTGAATTATACGAACAGAAAAGTTATTAAGACAGAGTGTGATACTTCAAATTGTCCTGTAAAATGACTTTTTGTTTTCTTTTGCATCTCTCAATTTGAGTTGTCAATTATGGACTTTATATTCATTTATTCAACAAATATTTTTCCAGCGTTTACTCTTTGCTAGCACTGCTTTAAGCAGAACAGACTCAATGATTTGTAAGATAAATACCTGCCCTCTGAAAAGCACACATTATAGGCAGAGACAGAACAAGTAAACAAAAAATAGGCCATCTTATTTCAGTTAGTGATAAATCAATGAAAATAAATAAAGATGGAAAAGGGGTGATACCCAAGGTGGAGAGGCCACTTAGTGTGTCGTCAAGAAGAGTCTCTCTAGGCAGCTGATATCAAAATGGAGATCAGCTGTGTAAAGGAAGCTATGAAAGTATCTGGGGGAAGATCATTTCTGGCTGAGAAAATTCTACTGCAAAGAACCTTTGCAACTGAAGAACTGCTCCTGTTAAACAAACAATTAGCTTTAGATGTGCATGGATGTGTAAACTTAAAGGTAATTCTTGACTTTACTAATGGCATTCCCAGGTTATGTAATTAGTTCTGTCACCAGTAAGTTGTCACTATGTGTATATTAACTAGAACTTTGTTCTAGTTTACATAATTTTATTTAGCAGTGCAAACTATGTGTGAATGTTTAATTTTAATGCAACAACAGAGTAATATCCTCAGGGAATATTGAAAAGAAAATTGGGCCATTATTTTCATCACTACATTAAAATAAGACTCTTAAATCTAGAAAGACCCTTGGAAATTACCAAGTATAGTGTCCGAAGTGCTGCACAAATACCTCCTCTAATAGTGTCCACAGCTACATACTATACAATAAAGTAAAATGTATTAACTTGATTGCTTGCTTCCCTCAAAGACGAATAGAGTGAGAATGTGACCTATCAAGTAGATTATAACAAACTATTGTACTACAAATGTCTCTAAACATGTTTTGATTTTGTTAAAAAATATAAAACATGTATTTAATACATAGCCAATAAGCTGTTCCCATAACAGCTCTTCTATCTAGCATTATCTATTGAGTTATCCTTTAGAGAAAAGTTTTTTAACATGCATAGCAAAAGAGTACATTTTTAATCATGAACGCTTTTTATTACAAAAATAGCCATATCCTATTAATGGAGTAAAAGAAAACAAAGTTCATTGATGTTGAAAGGATATATACAGTGTTAGAAATTGGGACTGTTTAGAAAAACATGAGAAATGCAATGGTTTTTGTCATAGTGTACACATTTAGCTCGTGGTAAATGACTCACAAAACTGATTTTAAAATCAAGTTAATGTGAATTTTGAGAATGACTAATTCCTAATTCACCATAACAATGGCATTAAGGTTTGACTTGAGTTGGTTCTTAGGATTTATGGTAAATATGCTCTTACCACTTGCAAATAACTGGCCTCCTCAATGACTTTCAGTAAGGCTCTCTAAGGGGTAAGTGGGAGGATCCACAGGAATTGAGATGCTGAGGCCTAAGAGATCCTTTGATCTAACCCTCTTATTTTCACAGGGGAAAATGGGGCCTAGAAGATGGAGCATCTAGCTGGTGTGCCGGCACCCCGGCTGCACACTCCCAAGTAGCTGGGACTACAGGCACGAAGTCACTGAAGCAGGCCCTGTTTGCAGTTCATGCTGTCACCTCCAGCTTGAACATTCTTCATGTCTATGTCCTTTTAACCCAGTCCCTAAGGTTAAACTTTCCCACCCAGAAAAGGCAACTTAGATAAAATCTTACTTTCATACCCTTCTAAGTCCTTTTCCAACCTCACTTTGAGTTCCTCTTGGGGTTGATAGGAATTCTCTCTTGCTTTCTCAATTAATAAAGTCTCTATTCATCTCATGTTTAATTTGTATGCATAGAATTGCTAAGAAATAAAATATTCTGTTCAACTTTAAAAAAAAAAAAAAGTTCAATGGTAGCCTTGATATGAGTAATCTTTACAGGATGACAATGCTTCTGATTCCAGAGGAATTGATGCAAAATAAAATTCAGCTTCATAAGCAAAACTGTTAAAGAGTGCCAATGGTGAAAATTTCATCATTATATGACAAAATACAAGTTTTAAAGGTTTATTCTTAAATCTATTTTGGCTCAGAACATTCTAACCAAATATCCTCACATATTGAACTCAAAAACCATAGCCATCATTCTTCATTTCAACAATGCAAATCTGTCAGCCACATAATCATTTGTACTTGCATGAACATACATTTACAGAGTGTGTTACCTTGCCAAGAAGATATTTTTTTCCCCTGAAGAAAATTGGTTAAAATCTTTATCTCCTAAAAACCTGTTTAGATTTGGAGATAGACCTTCAGGTTTTTCATCATTTTCTGCATTAATTACACAATGACCACGTTCCAGTGGGGTCAGTTTGCAGCATTCTGTTATTTTGTTTGATAGAGTGTCTTGTTGAGAACATATATAGGATATAACTTTTTCCTGTAACAAGGAAAATAGAATATAAGTTTTAAAGGTTTATTCTTTAATTTTTAAAGCTAGCTTTTTATTTTTTAATTTCAAAGCTAGCTTTAGAAAAGGAAAAAAGGGAAGAGAGGCAGGGGGAAGGAAACAAGAAAAGAAGGAAAAAAGTCCAGGAAAGAAGGAAGGAAAAAGAGAAGAAGCAAGGGGTAGGGGAAGGAGGAAGGAAAGAAAAAGAAAGAAGACATTTTAACGTGTCTCACATTTTACTGCTTTCTCCCCACTTTTGCCTTTTCTCATTCCTTTCTACTTACCTGTTCAATTCTTCTTTTCAAAGTTGTAAGCTAAACACTATGTTATTTTAATTAAAAAACCTTTAAAAATAAGAAGGAAATGTACTCAATTAGAATGAGATGCATCTTGGTATATATATTTCTATTAGCATTCAAATTTCCCACCAAACAACATTTGCAAATGATGTAATAACATGGAGAGTAAACTTTCTGCTCCATGAGAAACTGATGGCAATCATCTTTATCAGAACATACTGCAGTGACAGACTATGACCTTCAGAGGGCAGTCTATAGCGAATAAAAATGCAGTGCATCTAGGTGTCCAGAGAAAGGCAGAGCTTACATATACCTGTCAAGGGACTGAAAATTCTGTACATTCTCACCAAAGACAATTAGAAGCCATTATTCAGCTATCAAAATCCAACTGATATACTGAAATTAATGTTTCCACTTTAAAGGAAAAGGGTGGTTATAAACTCCAAAAACTGAAATATCTTTTTTAAAATGACAATGAAAAACAGCAAAATTTTCAGTTAAAAATGAGAAAACTGAGTTCAAAGGAAAACAAAATATTTCTGGTTGGTTTCCCTAGTTTCCAGGTTGATGCTTCTAGAAGAAAAACAAGTAAAGTAATCTAGTCGCCTGTCAGGCTGCCTCCTCCCACTTCTTCCCCAGCTCCTCAGGGACTGTCACTCTCAGGACTCCCCTGCAGCCTTGGTGTCTTGCAGACTTCAAGCATCTCAGATGAATTGCCAAGGGAGTGGGCTAAAAGGAGCATTTTATCTTCATTTTCAGCCTTCTGGAAACCATAGTCCATTGCTGGTTATCAAGCCATTTGAGTACCTAAGAGCAGGAATTTTTAAGCTCTTGGATTTTAATCTCTTTGGTGTGTCATGGGGACCAGATAGAGAGTAATCTGGGGGTCAACAGGCCTCTCTTGCAATATCTAGGAAGTCTAAAGTTAGCCAAAATAATCCAATGCCATACTGTTTAAGTCACCACTGGCTAGAGCACACTTAGGAAACTGTTGGTGGGTTTTTAAAATTTTGTTTTCTAATTCTCACTGACCCACTTCTCTTTGGCATGGCTAGCCTTTTACCTTGTAGAATAGTTACTTGTGCTACTTATTGTATTTGTTTATTTAACAAACTATTACAGAATGCCTTCCATGTGCCAGGCATTGTCCTATGTAGATAACAGTAAACCAAGGCAGTCCCTAACTCCAAGGAGGTCACTGTCATAGCTCTCCTATCAGACTATGAATTCCTCAAAGTCAGCCTGAGCTTTTATAATAAGTGTCTGTCACAGTGGCTAGCAGATAGAAAGTACTTAATATACATTTATTTGTCAAATGAAAGAATAAATGAATGAAAAAACAAATACATTAAAACTTAGTCTCCTCCTGTCCTCCAAGTCACTATGTAAAAGCCATCTGAGAAGTTCCCATGGTTTTTTTTAGAAATAAGGAATAGATTGGCCTTGACTTCACAAAAGCGTGCATATCTAAAGCGAAAGCCAGGATCAACAAAAGATGGTTTAAGTTTTACTACCAAGAAGTCCGTAAATTTACGGAGTCACCTAGTTTCCATACCCTGTAACCAATTCAAGTCAAATAGCTTTCTCCCTTTTAGAATGAGACAAAAAGAAGAGGGAGTGGAAATATATCTTTTTTAAGAAGGAAGACTCTTCACCCCATCCTGCAGACAATCCACCACATCTCCTCTGCAACAGTGCTCATGTACGTGGGCCACATCCAGGACTAGCTTGTGGATTTCAGTAAAATTAACTTTGGTAAACTTCTGACTCAGTTTAGTAACAGTTCTAGGGATAGAAAAAGAAATTAGAAATTACTTTCTTGGTTAACTGTCAAAATGAAATAGAATTTATAGAATATTACTAAAGTAGAAGTTTCAAAGAGAAACAACTGAAATTCCCTTGTTTAAAAAGAAGAAATCTGTTTTAAGTCTTGTTGCTTCCAGCCTTCTCTTTCAAAGCGGTAGCTCTGTAAACTGTGACCTGGCCCACAATAAATGGTTTAGAAGTAATTTATCTTTTCCCAAAACATGTCTTAAGAATTAAGAGAAATTCCTTTTGCCATTCAACCCTGATGCTGAGCACTTGTATTGAGTGGACAGAAAACTTGGAAAGGATAAACACTTAAAAAATGGAAAATTCCATAGAAATGAGAATCATTTTTCACTGGGGTAAAAAATACTTCTGAGAATCCAGGAAAGGAGGCGTATGTGCAAATCAATGAAATGGGACAAGAAGTGGAGCAGATTAAACATTTCAGGCATATCATTGTGCCAAGACAGTAATGTAGCCAAAAAAGGAAGTAAGAAATAAAAATTCCGGTTTCCTCTGCATATTTCATTAAATTTTAAGTGTTGTCTTTGTGAAACCACTGCTCCTAGGAAAAAATTATCATTGCTGCTTCTGATAAAGATGGGTCTTCTCTATAAATTTAGACCATTTAGCTTTAGTCACTTATGGATAGCAAATGATAAAGTCATTATAGTACTATCTTAATTTCTATCTATCTTGTTACAAAGATAAATTTAAATAAAATAGGTCATAAATTAATCTTTCAATTTCTAATTGAGTTGGAGGGTAGTTAGGGCATAAATCGGACTTTTTCCAAGAAGAAATTTCAGTCTTTAGAACTAATTCCATTACTAAAAATTCATTTTAGATCTCCCCTGTGTACAATATGTTTTAATGTGTCCTTTAACTAAACAGTAATCAAATAAACTCCAAATATGTATACTTACTACTCTTTGATTAGCAGCTCAAATATTTTCATATTTGAGAAGTGTTTCATTATAAAAGAATTGACAAGTTCTTTAAATCAGTTATGTAATTTAAAATGTTCTTTTCTCCTGATACTGGGTTCTAGTATTACTGTCTCAAGGGAATATTTCCATGGGAAGCAATAAATACTGAAAAGGGCGTCATAGCAGATTAGGAAATACAATTAATGTAAAGAATTTCTTGTTAAGGCAAAAGTTTTAAATGGTACTCAGTGAAGGCGTACTTACTTTGTAGAGGAGCTAGAAAATTATGATCTAGTGATGAGGTACAATTTCATTGCAGACCAGAACTTAAGTGTCTTTTAAAGAACAGGTAAAGAACATAAACCTTAAAAGTCTTCTCTATCTATTATCTCAGCCAGGCTTTAGTAAGTGTTAAACTGACTGATCTATTAGCTTCATTCTGATCTTAGGAGTTCATGATTCTAATCCCGTTAGCCCTCGTCAAAAGGGGCTTTCATTCTCCAAAACAGCGACAACTAGAAAAAAGAACCCAAATTGCAAAATGGTGGTTCTGTAGCTCTCACCCTCTTCCCTAGATAGAGCTTAAACTTACATGGCTTGGAAGGTTTGGAGTCCAAAATTTTTCATTACTGCACATGCATGTTGATTTAACAAGCTGTTTTCTCTTAATTCTTCTGTAATTGATGCTCCCTAGATGTAGAAGATGTCATGAAAGCATATATTAATTTTTTACAAGCTCTAATATTTAGAAAAACAACAGTTATAGGTAAAATGAAGTTTCATAAAACACATTTTTTACTAAAAATTGTAAATGCCGTACATTATTACAGAATATTATTGACTCATTTTTTTCTTTTGGGTTAGTTTATATGCATCTGTGACAGACAAATTTACTCAATATATCTTGAAACAAAAACATAACTTTTATATTGGAGATCATAAATGAGTAACTGTACTTTTAAACAGTTTAAAGACAAATTGAAGACTGCTAATTTCTTAAATGCCTTCTCAGTTACAAAAAATACTATTGTAGCACAGCCTGACATTGACAGTAGTCACAATTCTTAGGAAATTTTCATTATAGGACTGCTGGTGGCAAGTAGTTAATGGTGGATATCATTTTACCTCTCTAAATGTAAAAAAAAAAAAAAAAAAAAAAAAAATCTTCTCTAAACCTCTTTCCTAGCTTCTTAAAGGACTAAAATACTTACACCTCAAATTTGTTCTAAGGATTAAAAAATAATGAGCATAAAGTATTCATCATAGTTTTCCTTCATGTTTTCTCTCTCCTCTGCTCCTCCTTTTCTCCATTTTCTTTCACTTACTCCTCTCCCATTTACAGCACCCTCTCTTTCTCTCTTTCCCTGTTTGTCTTTCCTTCTTTATCCCATCAAACTTACTTCCTTAATAAAAAAATTATTGTTGACTAAATGAATAGATAATTTTTTAAACCAGCAAATGCAATTTTGTTCACACAAAGAATATCAGACTGCTGAAATATTTCTCTATTCCAAAGATGGTACTCATGGATTAAGCACATTTTCATTTTTAACTTTGTTTAGTTTTAACGAGCCACAGTCAGGCTACAGTATTGGTCCAGATATCCACACAAACAAGATACCTTTGTCTGGAAGCATTCAACTGCATTTTCAACTTTGCAGCAAGATGGAATTATTTTGTCATAGCGAGCAGCCAAAAGAAGAATTGTAGGTGCATACAGGAAGGGATGCCTTCTTGCTATCTCATAAATGTTTCTGTAGAATAAAATAGAGCCTGAAGATTTATAAACACGTAAAAATAGAACTACTACTGCTTGGAGCTGGACTCTAGGATTTATTTAAAGATTCAAATAACAACAACAACAATAACAAAATACAATTGATTTTGTCTTTCTGTGTTCCTAAGGGGAAAATATTCATATTTTTCCACATGCTGTCAAAATTTTCCTCACCAAAGATCCTGGGGGAATAAAATATCTGACAGATGATACCAGATTCTATTCTGAGAACAAAATAGGCAGACACGATAACCATGATTCTTATTAAAATGTCCTTTTCAATAAGCCTACTCAGTTATGTTTCAAGAATCAGCAAAGCCAGACCTCTCCTAAGTACAGCAGAAAGACGGACTTTTCCCCTTCTCTGTGCAGAATGGAGTTAATCCATTTGGAGAGTCACCATAGCAGACATGTTCTAACAGCAGTCTCTCTATTTCTCTAGTTTAGGAAGTAACATGGGAGGCAGAAGTGATGAAGAGTTAGATACAGCCTTCTCCAACAGAGAACCTGGGTTCAAATGTACTAGCTGTGTGCCCTCAGCCAGTTGTTTTAAGCTTAGAGCCTTCAATTTCATCAACAAAACAAGGGGAAGAATAATGAAAAGGAAGAGGAGAAGGAAGCTTCAAATATTGTTTGTGAGCATTAATCTGATCCTATGTGCAAAGAGACATGTTTCCACACATTCTAAGGGTTCAATAAATCTTTGCCATGTCTCTGTATCTTGACCATGCTTGGATCTCTTAACTTTCATTTCTAGGCAATTTGGTGAGCACAAAACACCAGTATGTGGCTCTGGAAAGCATCAGTTTTGTGCAATACTAATATATTCTTGAACAAGGTAAAATTGAAAGTAGAATGGGAGGAAAAACAGGTGTAAATATCTCAAGGAACTAATGGAACCTTTGGTAGGTCTGTCCCGTGGTCTGTACTACATCTAGCATGCTATGGAAACAAAGTTACACTGAATGTCACGCTCCTAATTACCTCGCCTGGGACCTCAGCAGACAAAATACCAAACAAACATTATACCTCCTACTGGTAGTACATGAGTGTACTGCAAAAATGTTAAATTAGGCTTTCTACTGCTCTCTTTCTGAGGCTTGCGTCTACCTTTAAGCTGGATCCTTACTTGTTCATGAATGTCTCCCTGTCTTCTTCATATGCTTCACAACTCATGACAGGTTCTGGAAATTGGAATAATTGCATGGATGTTGGAGTAGGCTTTTTGTGTGCAAGAAAACAGTTATGTCTTCCCTCTTCACTTTGGCTGCAGCAGTCTGAAAGTCCATACTTTTCCAAAATTTCCTTCTCATGGCACATTTCTTCCAGAAAGGCAGGTAGCTATAAGAAATATTTTATTTTCAGTGAAAGATAACTAACTATGCCTTAAAAATCTATAAAACACATGAAATAGGTTCGGGCGCGGTGGCTCACGCCTGTAATCCCAGCACTTTGGGAGGCCGAGGCGGGTGGATCACGAGGTCAACAGATCGAGACCATCCTCGTCAACATGGTAAAACCCTGTCTCTACTAAAACTACAAAAAATGAGCTGGTCATGGTGGCGCGTGCCTGTAGTCCCAGCTACTCAGGAGGCTGAGGCAGGAGAATTGCCTGAACCCAGAAGGCGGAGGTTGCGGTGAGCCAAGATCGCGCCATTG